TGAAAAATATATCAAAAATGCATGTGGGCACTCAACTGAAAGCTCTTGATGAGTGTAACATCGGGATGAGCTTATATCTTTAAAAACGTCAATAGTTAAGAAAGTACAGTGCAATTTAACAAAAGTTATTATTTAATAAAGCAAAATTTAATTATTCATAGTTTACAAGTCACGGAAGTCACATAGTGACTGCAAGGTTGCTAGTTAAATAATAGTCGATTATCTTACTCTTTAATATCGTCCAGTTTAGTCTTATACAACTCAGCTTGCTCTTTGAACTTTTTCGCTTCATCACTGGCAGCTTTGAAATGCTTCGCTTGCTCCTTCAAGGCTCCAATAGTATTTTTTTTCTGCTCAACATCACTTTCTAGCTTTAAGACTTCTTTCCTCAGACCAGCTGCTTGTATTTTGTATTTATGGGACTCATCCTTCAGATTAGATATTTCCTTATCTTTAAGCATTACCTGGAACTGCATGTTGTCAACGCGTTCTTGAAGGAGCACAGGATCATCGCGGATTGATTCGCTGTTGGGGACATTAAAGTACAAGCGGTGTATTCTTGAGCTGCTTGTTTTTTCACGACACTGCGGGCAGGATTTTGATCTGGAAAAATTTTTATTTTATTACAATTTTTTTATATAAAAAAAAATTAGCAGACATCTTATCATTTTTTTTTTGGATTAAAAAAAAAAGTCAACACTAAAAAAATAATTTTTATAATTTTTCTTTAATATTTAAATGTTTTTTTTTTTTTTAATAAATTCGTATTGAAAAAACAGTTTAAAAAAGTAGCATTTATAATTTTTTAAAAATTTAAAGGTATTTGATCATTTCAATTATTTTTTTTAATGAATAAATTATGGCAAAAAAATGAATAAAAAAATTAACGTAAAGAAATTTAAAAAAATTAAAAATTCAATTTTTTAAAAATAATTTTTTTGGAACAAATTTTTTTGTTAAAAAAAATATCTAGTGACTGCTAACTCTAATGTCATTTTAGAGTTTTGTTTTCAGTTCTAAAAATTATTAAATTAATTCAAGTTACTAAATTAACAAAAAAATTAATGAAAATAAAGTTAGCCAACATTTCAAAATTTTTAGAAATTTTTTATTGAAAAAATTTCAATTGAAAAATTAAAAAAAAAAATTTCACATATAAAAAACTTAAAAAGGTATTAGTGCAATTTTTTAAAAATATCTTTTTAGTTGTAATTTAATTAATAAAAAAAATCAAAAATTTTTAGGCGTCTGCTAACTTCAATGTCATAAAAATTAAATATTAATAAGAAAATATTTCCAAAAAAATGCATTAGCAATTTAAAAAAATTTTTAATAATAATTTTTATGACAGAAAAATCTTTAAAAATTTCAGATGTCTGTAACTTAAAATAATACTCAAAAAAAAAAAATCTTGTTCCAATCATCACTTGTGATAGAGAAAAAAAATCTTTTAGTTACAAAAATAACAACAGCAAAGACAAATTTATTTATAAATAAACATTAGATAACAAAAAAATGCTAACCTCTCCAGCCATTGTGTCAAACAAGGATAATGAAAAACATGACCGCAGTTTGTCGAAACAATATCATCACCGGATTCTATCCGCGATACACAAATAGGACATGACACGTGCATTTTTTATTAGTTAGCTTTTTATTAATTAAGCATGTAAAAATTAATTTTTATTTATTCATTAACTAACACGCAATTTATGTTTTTGTTACCAGTGTTATCGCGCCAATTCAGTCACTAGGCTAAAGCCGCGCATGCGCAATTCTAAAACTAAAATGGCTGCTTAGAGCGCGAAATTTAAAATTTTATTATTTAAATCGTAAATTATAATTTTGTATTTTGTTAATTTTTAATAATTTTCTTAATAAAACATTTTATTTTTAATAATTTTGATAAAAATTAATTTAGCAGATATTTTATCATATTAATAATTATTTTAACAAATAAATTATGGTGTTACGTCGAACTTGCAACTAAAATTTAATTATTTTTATCCTAGCCGTTAGGCTAATAGATAAGGATCTGAAGCTTATGGGAAGAGGCTGAAGTTATAATATAAAAAAAAAATGAATTCAATTTAATAAATATATTCTAAAATTATAATACAAAGATTTGAATTATTAAAACAAACATGAAAATCTTAATTAAGGACTTACTTAAATATCATTGTAACTGCTTCTTTACATAATTTAAATTTACTTCACTAATAATTTCTTTTTGAATCTAACGCGTGGTTTCATTGAAACTTGCAAAAACTTTTTCGATTTTAACACTAGTACGTCAGGACAACGAGAGAGATTTTTGTTGAAAATCGTAAAGGTCTCGAATTTTTTGGGCGTTACTTATTTTTACTAGATGGGAGAAACAATGTCCAATTATTTTTCTATTTCCTTGAGCCCTTGCCCTCTCTCTTAGATTTTTTTTATAATGTTGCATGAGTCCCCTCTACTTGGGTCAGAGTACAATATCGTTTCTCTCTTACTCTTATTCTCTATTATACATCTATGTGTTTGTGTATACGTAAGCGCATTTATGCATAGACAAAGACATACATGTGTACTGTCTTACATTAAATTATTTACTGTGACAAATTTTGCATTAAATTATTTATTTAAACGTATGAATAAAATATGTATTTCAATTAAGCATATCTTAATTATTTCGAATTTGATTATTTTGAATTTAATTATTTAATTGTAGAAATATTTTTTTTTTTTTTTTTTGCTTCGATCATTTGTAAATTTATTATTGTTAATTTTATTGTTACTTAAGTTATTGTAAAATCCTTCTTTAAATAATAACTATTATATTTATAAAAAAAAAATGTGTTGAAATTTTATCCGTTAGAATTTTAAATCTAATATTTCCCTTCTAAAATTTTTTCTTTAGTTTCTATTTCAAAATTTTTTTTCTAGTTTATTACTAAAGGAAATTTGCTTTAACGTGTATCTGAGTTTGAAACGTTGCACTCTTATCTGGTTCTCAGCGGGAGATAATTTTTATTACTCCGGTCTGTGTACTTAGAATACTTTCAAATTTGTTAAAATATATATATATAAAAAAAAAACTTCTCAGAACTATAAGATTTGAAATTTGAAACCTTTGAGAATATCGTTTCAATTTCAGATAAACGTTGAACTATGACTAATACAAAATAAAAAAAATTATAATAAAAAATAAATGTTTGTCATTAGTTTTTAAACATAAAATTATAAATGAATAATTAAATTCCATTTGTTATAAGATAAAAATGTCGAACTTTGAGCCCGACATAACAATGGCAAAAAAATTACAAATAAAAATTGACATATAGAAATTTAAAAAAATAAAAAATGAAAATTTTAAAAAATATTTTTTCTAAACAAATTTATGAAAATTAACTTATCAGACAGTTGATAATTTTAAGAATTTTTATAATAAATAGTGACAAAAAAAAAATGAAAATTAATTTAGCAGATATTTGATAATTTTAAGAATTTTTTTAACAAATAAATTATGGCAAAAAAAAAGTAGAAAAAAAAATTTACATGTAAAAATTTTAATAAATAAAAAATCCAATTTTTTTTTAATAATTTTTTTGAAAAAATCTATTTGTTAAAAAAAATTAAAAAATTGTCAAGTGACTGCTAACTTTAATGTCAATCATTTTGTTCCAATAAATAAAATAAAATAATTTTTGACGTTTGAAAAAAATTTCAAAAACTGCGCGGGTTTTTTTTACGCATGCGCATTGGCTGAAAAAATTTTTATGGCGATTTAGCGAACTAAAAAAAGTTTTCGCGGAATTATATACTTTTTTTTGCTGATAACCAAAATAATGGCGGTGGCAGTACGTGTCGTATTTCAATTGTTATTTGTAAACAGTTGGTTAGTATTGTAAGCAATAAATTCATTCGCTATGTGATTACGCTGCGATTGTTGTTTAATTTATAGCTTTTTTTTAACTTTTAAAATTCTTTTATGACACTTTTTTATTAATTTTATAAATACATTTCAAATTTCACGTAAGTAACCTCTAAAGTATTCAAAATTCAAAATATATATATTTTTATTTTCTAGAAAATGAGCCAATTAAAAACCGACGCTTTGCCGTCGGCCATAAAAGCAAATTACGCGGAAATATTGGATAAAGATGTAGTTAATGCAATTGAAGATGACTTGACAATCAATGAAAAAATTTCAATAATATTTTTGTGTGCCGCTGAAAAAATTGACACGGATTTTTGGAGAAATTTCATGCAAAAATTGATGAGCTACAATGAAAAAGTTATTTTTGACAAAAAGGAGGCAATTTTTATTATTTGTGATTTAATTGAAAATGTTGGAAACTGGAAGGATAAATTCATTGAAGCGCTTTGTATTATAAACAATAAGAGGATTCTAACTCAGTTAGGTTTAATTGTTGATGATTTGTACCGAGAATATTGTCCGCTGCAGGCGAGAATTGTAGGGAAGATAAATGTCGGTAATAAAATTTTGTTTAAATTTTTCGAGTCTTTGAGTGAAAAAGAATCAGAGAACGTTTTGAAGAAGATTTATTCAGATATTTGTCTGGATAGAAGATTGAGTGATATTAATTTAATGGAAATACACGCTTTATATTGGCTGTCAATTGGATTTATTAAAATTACACCAAGTGAGTATTTGTTTTTATTTAAGTAGAATAAATAATAACTAGCGATTTACAGTCACTATTAGACTGCCGAGATTTACGGATTATTTATTTATTTATTTATTTGTAAAGAAACGCCCTCGGCAATTTTCAACAATATGTTACATTTTTATGTATATAATGTTTAGAATTAATGATTTTATACAATACATAGCATCTGCAAAGAGAAGATAAATTTAAGAAATTTAAAAAAAAAAAATTTTTTTTTATTAAATTTGAAAGAAAAAATTATAAAAAATTTCAAAGATAAGAAAAACATAATATGTCTGATAGTTTATAATCACTATTTGTACACCTGGAATTTTATTATTTTAAAATCACCCTTTTTGCTTCACTTTTTATTTTATCTGTTGGTCCTCCAAAAATGTCCAATTATGAATCAGAAAATTTTGGCTTAAGGGGGTATTCTAGTCTAGAAGCATGAATTTCAGGTAATTTTTTGAAGTGCCGTAAAAAAAAGGCAATCAATATTTTTACTATCCATTTTTTTATAAGTTATTTATTAACATTACAAGAATACAGAAAAAAATAAAAAAGTTTGAAAATTCAAAAAATTAGCAGCTGATGAAGTGGGGGGG